ATTAATTGGAACTTCTTTTGAAATTCTTCAAGAATTCTTCATTGAATTCTTCTCATCGTCTGAAAAATTCGTAAAAAATATTCATGATTTTCCCGGTAAATTCGAAGGAAATATGGCAACAACTGAAGGCTCATATGGCGTTTTTCCTTAGCATAGAATAGCTACGAGGCAGCTTCATCAAGGCACTGTTTTCCCGCGCCAAAGAAGAACAGCGTATGAGCACTCAAACGTCGCCGAAGGTCCTCCCGTTCAAATTTATTTTCGAAAACAAGCGTGAATATTTTTAATTGACGTTTGCAGGTACGCCGGTTTTAATTTCAAATACAATTCTAAGAAATAATGCAAAGAACAGTGCTTCTCCCATGAAATGTTAATTTTATAAGAAGAAATCTTGCAACGTTCGATTATTCATACGCCTTTTTTTCTTAGCGCGGCAGTGGCACATAGTCAGACAAAAAACCAGCCGTGTCTCCGTCCAACTTTGAACTTTGATACCGAATTGTGGCAGGCACTGGCCTACACTTTCTAAGTCAAGATACTAGCTCGAAGGCCTTGCACCATTGCGCAACATTTTTGCAGAGGCAATGCCAGGAGGAAAAGTAAAATAATGCTCTGCTTAAATACTTTCAACGGCGGCTGGGCGTTTTTTCTCTCTCTTGTGGCCGTTGCATGCGCCACCGTGCCAGTGATGAATGGTGAATGAACGTGGCGCCGCGCCGGTGGAGCGTCATCTTGATAAAAACCAGGTGTAATTGCATCGGAGCAAAATTTTAGGTATAAATTAAAATTCCAGCGCCTCCCCTCCCTCCCCCTTTGGAGACTTGGAGCTCAATAGGTTAGCGTATGAAATTACTATTGAACGCAAAAATTAATTAATGAGTTTTAGTGCGGAGGTATTTTGTAATGGTTATAGAATTACGCGAAAGCGGCTAAATTTGAATCTGGAAACACAAAATGGGATCAAGATTAACAAGTCATCGTAACTTACTTGAAAGTTTTTAACATATTTTTTGGAAATTTTTAAGTAAAAAATGACATCCTTGCACAGTGTGCAAACTTGTCGAGAGGCAGAAATATTAATTTACCCGTCAATGTATAGTATTTATTTCGATTTTGTCTCAAAATGAAGTCATTACCTCTCGGGATGATGGTCCACGGTCCAAACGTACGAAGAGACAGACGTCATTAGCCGTTATCCAAAAGTAGAGTGAGAATTACACGGCGTAATAATGCTTCGTTTTTGTCACAGCTTCATTTTTGTTCTCTCTGGACCTCAAGCGGGTCGAAACCCGAGACTAATGGTGTCAACTACAACTTTTGGGACAAAGAAGTTGAGGTATTCTAAGTGCGCTATTTTTAAACATTATTGATTCTCTGGTCAATGGTCAGCGGAACTAGACTCTAAAGAGCCTCTCCAAAAAGTGGTGTTTTTTAGCCCCTTTTTTTATACCCGAGTTGGTCAACCGGACAGTGCTCAAATGAAAGCCTATGGTAAGGCAAACTTCCATGCAAAGTTTCAACTTGAAGTGACCCCTCGTTTAGGCTGTACAGCGTTGCCAATTTTCCAGTTTCATGTGCTAAAATCAAGGATATTGGACTATTAGTCCGGTGCATAAGTAGACTAGTACACCCGAGTTGGTCAACGGGACAAGGCTCAAACGAAAGCTTATGGTAAGGCAAACTTCCAGGAAAAGTTTCAACTTGAAGTGACCCCTCGTTTAGGCTGTACAGCGTTGCCAATTTTTCATTTTTATGCGCTATACTCACGAAATACTGAATCATCATGGTTCAACCGGCTAGTATACCCGAGTTGGTCAACGGGACAAGGCTCAAACGAAAGCTTATGGTAAGGTAAACTTCCAGGAAAAGTTTCAACTTGAAGTGAAACCTCGTTTAGGCTGTACAGCGTTGCCAATTTTTCATTTTTATGCGCTATACTTAAGGAATACTGGATTCATCATGGTTGAACAGACTAGTATACCCGAGTTGGTTAACGAGACAGGGCTCAAACGAAAGCTTATGGTAAGGCAAACTTCCAGGAAAAGTTTCAACTTGAAGTGAAACCTCGTTTAGGCTGTACAGCGTTGCCAATTTTCCATTTTTATGAGCTAAAATCAAGGAATTCGGGACTAATAGTCCAGTGCATCATAATTAAACAGACCAGTGCATCGGTCTACGAGCTGAATACTACCCTGAGATCGAATAGAAGCGGAACTAAAGGCCATCGTGAACTTTTCAAAGCAGTGTTGCCAATTTATTATTCATTTTTTTAACATAAAATTAGGGTTTTTTCGAGATTTTTGGCGGAAAACGTACCTTCATGGACTATAACTTCAAAGTGAAACTTTTCCTGGAAGTTTGCCTTACCATAAACTTTCGTGTAGGCCTTGTCCCGTTGACCAACTCGGGTATACTAGTCTGTTGAACCATGATGAATCCAGTATTCCTTGAGTATAGCGCATAAAAATGAAAAATTGGCAACGCTGTACAGCCTAAATGAGGTTTCACTTCAAGTTGAAACTTTTCTTGGAAGTTTGCCTTTCCATAAGCTTTCGTTTGAGCCTTGTCCCGTTGACCAACTCGGGTATACTAGCCTGTTGAACCATGATGATTCAGTATTTCGTGAGTATAGCGCATAAAAATGAAAAATTGGCAACGCTGTACAGCCTAAACGAGGGGTCACTTCGAGTTGAAACTTTTCCTGGAAGTTTGCCTTACCATAAGCTTTCGTTTGAGCCCTGTGTCGTTAACCAACTCGGGTACACTAGTCTGTTCAACCATGATGAATCCAGTGTTCCTTGAGTATAGCGCATAAAAATGAAAAATTGGCAACGCTGTACAGCCTAAACGAGGTTTCACTTCAAGTTGAAACTTTTCCTGGAAGTTTGCCTTACCATAAGCTTTCGTTGAGCCTTGTCCCGTTAACCAACTCGGGTGTACTAGTCTACTTATGCACCGGACTAATAGTCCAATATCCTTGATTTTAACACATGAAACTGGAAAATTGGCAACGCTGTACAGCCTAAACGAGGGGTCACTTCAAGTTGAAACTTTGCATGGAAGTTTGCCTTACCATAGGCTTTCATTTGAGCACTGTCCGGTTGACCAACTCGGGTATAAAAAAAAAGGGGCTAAACTTGGCGAGGCTCTTTACCAACCCCATGTTCTCTGAAAATATTGTCCCAATCGTTCAATTTTCAGTTTCTCGTCATAAATCAAAACGGCGATAAGACGGGGTATTTTTCCTTCGAATGCACATCGTTGGAGTGGATTTAACGACGGGCAATCAGATATTGCATAGTTTTCTCGCAAGTATCCTTTTTCAATAAATAAATGAAAAAAATGTAAGGTTATAGTGGGGAATGGACTTTAAATATTCTTTTCAATTCAGAGACAATTCACAGAAAGAATCAGGGTGTTGTGCTGCTGGACCTCTATTAATAGAATAAAAAAAGAGAGGTTATGAGGCAACGTATTACGCAGTAGGCTGACTTTGGCTAAAATCCGTCCATTTATAGTAAAGTTTCATTATAGGTTAAGATGCCTCCATCGGGTTGGGCTCAGCGAGGTGCACGGGATTCGGTTACCTTGTCTGAGTGTTTCACTTGGCGGCATGCTCGCGTGCGTGTAATGTGTGAATGGAAATTAATCCGGATCTTGTGGGTTGTCACCGCGGCTGCACGCTTAATTAACCGAGTCGCGGCAAAAGCGCCTTGCAGTTGCCGATCCGCCGTGTGATTCGTGTCCACATGACCACTTCACTTGTCCCTGTCCAAGATCCGCTTGCCGCTTGTCCGATTCTGCTCCAGTGGCACGCGGCATGGTGTCTGCGTCATCCCTCGCGTGGGAGGCGGAGTGCCCGTGCCCATCACGTCACCGATTACCGAGCCACGCGTCAACTGGGAACCGGATGTTTGCTCAGGCTCTTAAAACGGAGGAAAACTCGGTGTCAATGGGTCAGTTGGACTATTCTGCAAAACGGAACTAATTGTAAGCGTCATAGGGGGAAGAAGGGTGTGCGGGTTGGATTGGCGCGGCGGCGGGTGCAGTCTGCTGACGAGTTGATTCCGTCATATGCTCACGATGCTTTTCCATGGCGCTTGCTTCCGTTTGACAGAATGCGCTATCCGGGATTCTAAAATCCTCAAAAGAAACTGAAAATGGCGCTTGGTTCCGTTTACTGGAAAAAAAACACATTGGATCTGAAATCCAGACTCTTAAAAACATCGACAAGAAAAAATACTCTCGATTCAATCAGATTTAAGCTTAAATCAAGAACCAAACCTCTTAATTTGAGCGGATTTCCTTTTGATTTAAGCTTAAATCTGATTGAATCAAGAGTCCGTTTTCTTGTCAATGTTTTCAAGAGTATGGACTCTAGATCCAGTGTGTCTTTTTTTCCAGTGTTTAGCAGAAATACGTCAATTTTTTTTAACAGAGATTCGTGTTTTTATGATCAGTTGATGCACGTAGTTGTTGATGCACGGGTTGCTTGATGTAGAGTAGCTTCATAGTAATAATATGGAGTATAGTGACGATGTTACACCATGTTGGCGAAATTGACCAGTCCGGAGAAGGGTAGCTTTTTTGTCCCATTTGTGAACAGGTCACCGGTCACCCCGTTGTCCAGTCCGGGAAGTGGCCGATGTTCTTGCCCATTCCGTTAACTGGGCAGCCAGTCAAAAGGCCGGACCAGACTGCTCGGTCAAAACTCTGAAAATTACGTCAACGGGAGACTGGTCGTTGATTTTAAATGAAATCCATAAGCTAATCGACGAATGCCCCCCAGTGACCGATTTCTGACGAATTATCTGCGAGATCTTGAAAGCAAGTTTAAAGTATCATAAGAGTTTGGCGATGTAATTGAATTTTACAGCTGATTTTTTGTTTTGTTACTCAAAAGTTATTAATACACATTTGTGAGATCTTTGAATTTTGCATATATTTTTAGTATCTTGGAGGTGCGTTTTTCATGTCAAAAAATTGGAGGCGTCTTCGTTTCACAAAGATTAGACCGATTATGAGTTGGTTGTAGCGCCTTGATGCAACTATTCGTGTTCTGCGGATGTGCGTGTTGCATATTAAAAAATTGAAGGAACTTTCGCTATTCCCACATATTCAGAGATGTACGGGACTCGTCAGTTGTAGCAACCGAATAACAGAGTGCCCATGCAAAGAAACTAAGTATCGCATCTCAATCCTTTTACTACACAAAAAGTGTCGCTCTCTGCTTAGTCAATGACTTTCAGGCTTTTATGGATTATTTCCTACATACATAAAAGTTGCTCCTACAACGCACTCTGACGTTCTGCGACACTCAAACGCCGTATGTGCCTATTTTCCCAGAGATTGTCCGGCAACTGATAACGCAACATCTCTTCGCCAACGCCCACGCATGTGTGTGGTAGAGACTTGTGCAAAGACTGTCTGATTTCCAACTTTTGAAATAATTTCTGAACAAAATTTGATGGATTTGCTCGCTTAGAATTTAAATATGAAATTCAATAACCACCTTTCAAAGTAGGGGATTAAACCGTCTGTCGGGCAAAAGGACCTGTTTTTTTTATATTACCGAACAAAAACAACTTTGGTTCATGTGGACAGGAGTCTTTTTATTCGTTGTACTCAGCCTTCTCCTTTAAATTTCAATTTTCTTGCGTTCATTTCTATTGCATTTTCAAGCAAAATGCGCACCATCGTTATAATCGCACTATTAATTTTCGTATTATTTGTCTTTCTGTTTCAGGTGAGTTAAGTTTTCCCAGTCTACGTTAATTAAGGATGGGGTGAGTTATTTTTGTGTGTGTGAAATTTTGCGTCTGTTTTTCTTCTGATACCTTATCAGAAGAATCCAATCAACCCTGTTTAAAAAAGTTGATTCTGAAAGAAGACCGTTAAATGAGTGCCTTCCCACTATAATCCCTTTGCCATTAATTCGGGATTCGGATGCTCTCATGAATTGTTTGGTTCCGCGAGATAGCGTAAATCATACTGTGCAAATAATTTTATCTCACGGTATTCTTTGTTACTGTTCGAAACATACTGTATACTTCAAAACCCTTTGCATGTACGGCAAGCTCTAATTCACAGAGAAACAAATTTTATGCTCATCCGTCTAATCAAGTAACTGAAGAATGCAGGAAGTGGGGGAAGGGCAGCTAAGAATTCGTATCTCAAGTACAGTTTCTACATCGAGATACCAAAAGATAACTTGACAGAAAATTATTGCTAAACGCGTTCAACTCGATGCATTTTCTCAGTATATCCTATCGTTCTTTTTCTCCGTGCGTACGTGTGAAAGTGGTCCAAAATATCCAAGAGTACCTCATAACGAATGAGTCGTACTAAACTGCGAACTGTCTCGCGAGAAAAATTGATCCCTTCTCGCGGCCGAAGGAGCATCATAAAAATTTGTTTCCCGTCAAACGAATGTAGATGTTCGATTCGGTCAATTTTATCGGCAGTAAAATTGAAAGCGTTCGACCGGGAGCGGCGGCCGAGAGCGAAGAGAGCGTCCGGTCCTATATCCTATAACGAGATCATAAAACTGAGTGTTAAAGCGCTATTGCTTCATCATACGCCGTCAAAAAGGCACATCATTTTTGTTTCGCCATTTCTCGCTGGTTTTATTTTATTCGCGAGGTTTGATGGAATAATCAGCTTAATTTTCATGCTCCGCAGTCGACAGTTTAATGGTCGAAGTTCGGACGATCATCCTCTCACTATCACTCACACTATCACACACCTCACACTATCACTCCCCTCCTCTTCCCCCTCCCCTCCCCTCCCTTGACCCTATGCATTCTTGAGCATCCTTCGATTTTGACCCTCCTAAGTAGAAAAATTCGATTCGAATTGAATATGATGAGGTTTAACTAGGTAATGTTAAGAACCGGACCTCGCTTCAGGTAATCATACTTTTTGTCACACTACTGGAAAAAAAGTCGCTTGAATCTAGAGACCAGACTATTAAAAACATCGACAAGAAAAAATACTCTTCATTCAATCAAATTTTTGCTTAAATCGAGAACCAAGTTTCTTAGTTTAAGTAGATTTCCTTTTGATTCAAGCAAAAAGCCGATTGAATCTAGAGTATACTTGTCCTTGTCGATGTTTTCAAGAGCCTGGACTCTAGATCCAAGTGACTTTTTTCCAGTGCAGCCTTACTGACTGTGAGACTCCTGATCTGAAGCAAAGACTTCGGTCAGCTGTTCCGAAATTTTTTTCTGAAATTCGGTTCTATTAAATGACAAAAAACTTCTGTTAATCAGACTATAAACTTCGGTTTTCATTGTTGAATCGAAGTTCACTCCTTACATACAAATTGTTCTTCTCTGTGTGCTATTTTCTCCGTGAGATTAGCGCTTCCGTTTGGCTTACGAACTGGCCCTAATTTTTCTATTTCTCGGTCATTTCTCCGCCAAATTCCTTGAAAATCTCAAGATCTGACCTATGATGTGTCTCAAACTAACCCGTTACCTCCAAAGATTGTTACCCCTACGATTTGCAAAAGGCAACAGTCAACAATGGAGAATTTGGTGAATTTCATGTTTCAGAACTGTCAAATGAAACTATTGAGAGAACTGAGCCAGAAAATATCCTTGGTTTCAAAATTGAACAGTTTTTTTTTTTATATATGTTGTTTTGGCTTTATATCCGGGGGATACTGCGGCCTTGGAAGGGATCTAAAATTGAACAGTTATTGAAGGAGATATGATAAAATAACCAAATCTGCTAAAATACGTTTGTTTCAAAGGGAAATGCCGCCAGATGACGTCACAAGGCTGCACATTTTTTCCATTTTCAGATCTATTTTCCTACCCCAAATCAGATAAAAATTATGAAAATATACTCCGAACTCAGCCAATTAAGCACTCTCGGGCGAGGCAATAGAAATTTTCCGTGCAGATCCTCCACTCCATCGATGAGCATTTTTGAAGTCTCTTGTTTGTGTGGGACGGACGCTTCACTGGAAAAAAAAACACATTGGATCTAGAGTTCAGACTCTTAAAAACATCGACAAGAAATAATACTCTTGATTCAATCGGATTTTTGCTTAAATCAAGAACCAAGCCTCTCAATTTGAGCGGATTTCCTTTTGCCTTAAGCTTAAATCTGATCGAATTAAGAGTATTTTTTCTTGTCAATGTTTTCAAGAGTCTGGACTCTAGATCCAATGTGTTTTTTTCCAGTGTTCAGTATTATCAGTGATCACTGCCAGATCATTTATTTCTCTATTTTCATAGCATGAACCTCGGAAACGAAACAACAACAAAACCTATCTACTTCATCGCAATTTCAAAATCAAATTTTCAATCTCGAACTTCCCGATCTACACATATATCGTTGTACCCGTCGTGTTGGTCGTTGCACAGCGCAAGGTATCGGATTAGACCATATATTTTATTCCTCGCAGTACGTGGTTGACTGCAAGCTGCACATTAGGAAAAAGGATTGCTCAGCTGGAATGAGATATTGCGATCAGTGCAAGAGTCCCCACCCCTCTTCCCAGGCGGCTGAGGGTTACCAATGACGGATGACCACCAGTCCAATTTAGAATGTACCAACGACAGGAGACACAAGGCAACTTCAAGTCCGATATGAAGAAAAACGTTGCCGTCCTTTGAACTTACTGAATCCGCGAGCCTTATTTGGAGCAACTTTTTCGGAGCTTTCTCGAGTTTTTATCGAGCGAAATATGGTCCTTATATTTTACAATCGTCCCAGTCGAGACAGGAGTTGCGTTTCTAACGCAGAAACCAAACATGACGATTCTCAAAGTGGTCAGATTGATTGACAGATGACAGAGGAAAGTAACTCTTGAAAATTGAAAAAAATGCAAACAATTTACATAATCAAACTTTTTATCCATATTTTCTTGAAGCGCATTGAATTGAATTTTTTGTTTTCGGCGCGGCTCGACACAAGAGGTGAATTTCTGCGACTGCATTCGGTCAAGTTTTTGACCCATTGCCAACCTCCGTTATAACAAAACGGAATTCCCTCCGAGCGTCGGTGTGCTTAAAATATGTGATTTTCATGTCGGCAGCAATGACGACCACATCTTAAATTCTTGACCCACCTCCCGGGGTGGGTCGAAAAGTGGATGGATGCAAACATTCGCCAAAATTCATCAAGCAACTGACTTCAGTTATTGACTTCAGCAGAGCGTTTACCTCATTCGGTTTGCAATCCTGCCAATCTGGTTGTAAATGTCGACCAAATCTACGCGCGAAAATTCGCCTGAGGAAACGATAACTGTGAGAACATTAGTGAGAAACGTATACATGACGTCGTGTATTTATTTTTTTTTTTGCCAGTTCGGATGTATGAACTGAAAATTTGGTAGCGTGAACCGAACGTCAAGTCACACAAATCAAAAGTATTAAATTTCAGACACCCGTCATTATGCTTCCTGTTAATATTCATTCAAAAAATACCTCTAATTTCTATCTTTCAATCGTTCACAGAATGAACAACTTAAGCTGAGCCCTAATTTTCCCGGTAAAATAGCGCCAACTTGAGGCAGTAGTGCTCAGACCCACAGCTTGTAAGGTCCAGTCCTACTGTCTGTAGTTGGCGCTATTACACCTACAGTGAGATATGCTTGCTTCTCCGCAGCCCGTGACAAGATATACAATAAGAACAATTTAAACAGCGGGTGATAAGGATAATTTTCAAATAAATACCACCGAAATTTTTCGGCTGACGACTCAGCCTTCCTTAGTTGAATAAAAACAGTAAGACATTTAAGAATCTAAAAACTTAGTACTTGGCTGTACCTTTCAAAGCGAGAAAAATGTATTTATGAAAATGTTGGTGTATTATGAAATGATTTTATTCTTTCATAACAACATTTTTCTTGCTCTGAAAGGTACAGCAAGCACTAAGTTTTTAGATTTTTAAATTTTTTACCGTTTTTATTTGGCTGAGGAAGACTGAGTTTTCAGCCGGAACGTTTTGGTGGTATCCATGTGAAAATTGGCCTTGTTACCCGCTGCTTAAATTGTCATTATTGTTAACCTACAATGTTAGGTTTCAGCGCTAAGTTGTTTTTTCCGTGTTGCGCAACTAGAGAATGAAGAAGGCAACACTGGCTCTGCATCGGAGCACGAAAGCGCTGATGTAGGTAAAGCACCGCGTTGAATAATTCCGCGAGAGTCCCGGCTGGTGTCCGACCGTTCGGATCTCGTCCGCCTGGATCGTGATGGGTATGAAGATCGGTGCAAGGCGCAGCTTTGAGGCCTTTATTGAGCCGGCGCCAGTCCCTTTTCATTCCCGATCCGACAAACTGCATCCATTCGATTCCTCGTCTTGACAAGTTATTTACCTTGCTCGCGAAGACGCCGAAGACTTACGCCCGACGGAAGCTCCACTCCTGGGAGTCGCGTGCCAGGGCGCGGCCTCATGGTGGGCCTAATTAACATTAAGATCGCTCCCGAGTCGCCGTTCGTTTCTAATCGATGGGTGTTTATTGCTTGTCCTCTACTCTACGGATTACCTGCTCACGTCTTGGGCTAATTTTATTCACGCATTGGGCCGGCTGTCCGAAATAGAGACGAATAGAGACTGGCCTCTTGGCGACAGCTTGGGGCCGTCCTTATATAGACCACTAGACAAGGTACGAATTTAAGCATTCTGATACATGTTTCTTATCAAAAATTTCACGTAGAACACGATGCGCACAACGAAAATTACCGAAAGCAACTCCTTACGAAGATATTTAATGATTCTTGATGCGTAAATTCAAACCGCCCGCTCATGAAAACTCAATGCTCCACGTGAT